ATATATGTTTTTGATAGATATATAGATTAACAAATCATATCTTTATCTAAATTTTATTATTTTAATTTTTTGAAAATTAATTATTTAATCTTTATCTTTATCTGTAGGCCACGAAATTAATCTTTATAAATTATTTATCAATTTTTATATGTTTATTTATCTATAAGTCATGAAATTATTATTTTTAAAAATTTTATCTTTATCTATAGGTCATGAAATATATTTTCATAAATTATTTATGAATTTTATATGTTTATCTATAATGAAATTAATTAAAGTACGAAATGAGGGGGGGAAAGAGAGAGTAATTTTGTTTTTTTTAAAAAAAAGATTAATTATTTAATCTTTATCTTTATTTGTAGGCCATGAAATTAATTTTTATAAGTTATTTATCAACTTTTATTTGTTTATTTATGGGAAGAAATTTTAAATTATCTATAAGTTATGAAATTAATTTTTTTAAATTAATTGTTTATTTTTTATTTTTATCTGTAGATTATAAAATTAATTTTCAGTTTTTATATGTTCATCTATATGGAGGAATTTTGAAATTCAAATCTTTATCCATAAGTAATGAAATTAATTTTAATTTTAATTAATCAAAAAAATAAAAAATAAAGAAAAATAGAAAATATGAAAGGCAATCAAAAGAGGTTGTCACGTCAGAAAGAGAGTGTTTTAAAATTATTTGAATTTAAAAATAAATATTTAGTGACTTTTGACAAAATAACTACATTTAGTTATATATATGGCCAAGTTTGGCTATCCTAAATAACTACACACTTTTTATTTTTTTATCTTTTTTTCATCACATCATCTCTCTACTTTTCTGCACATTTGTTGGCTTATTTTTCCTACGAAGGAAAATATCATAAATGCGAGCGTGCCAGCAAGGATTGAAAAACCCTTACAGATTAAATTCAAGCCAATTATCAAGCGATTGTGTTGACGGTTCTTTTGCCTCAACGAAGAGGACTTCAAATTTGTCAAGTGTAGCGAAAAGAAAAAGTAAAAGAAGAAAAAGGGATGGAGAAAGATGATTGAATGAACAATCAAAGTAATAAATACTTACCTCTACTCCTATGCTTGGAAAAGGAAGTGCATAAAATGCTTCGAAATGGAAATACTGAAAATAAATGCTTCGAAATATAAATTTATGTTAAGCTACTCTTAAAATAAAGAAAATGACAAGAAATATTGAAATCAATTGTCTTTGATTTATGATTTTTGGCCCCCTTTACAATGTAGCCATTAATGGCTATTTATAGAAGAAAAAATACAGCAATAACTACTTAATAACTACCCATTTCTTCCATCTTCATTCTTGTCTTGCCATGTATCCTTCCACTCATCCACTTTGTCCTCCCACTCATCCACTTTGTCCTTCATATTCTCCATTATCTCTATAACTTCTTTTAACTTCCAAATGAATAAGAGGATGCCACGTGTCCTGCAATTATATAAATAATAAATAATAATAAAAATTGCAGATTTATGGTGTTAAAAAAATGACTACATAAAAATAAGAATCACGTAAATCTTGTATTTTTTGTTTGTGTATTTTATATATATATATATATATAATTTTTTATATTTTGTATCTCACCGATCTAATTATGTTGTGATTCCTAACAATTAAGACAAGCTAGATATTGTGGACCCATATTGGGCATAGCAATGAACATAAATCAGGTAAACAGTCATCTTTCTTGATGAATAGACTTTGGTGTATTTTGTACATGTACAAGATAGATACATATCAGGTATGAAACGTATGGCCTACTTGTATTCATATTGCCCAAGCTTTACTCCATACCTTTTTACAGGTGATGTACATGCCCTAGCCTTTCAAACTACCATCATACCATATATAATATAAACTTATATTCCCTATATGGAAAATATATCACATAAAAAAAAAAATATCTGTGGAGTGAGTTGGTTTCATTTCTTTAAGGTGCTTATCACTTTTCAGTCATGTTTCATGACAAATACTGTTTTACACGGTGAATTACATTAATAGTCTCTATAGTTTAAGACTTGTACCACTTTGGTCCCTGCCTTTTCAATTGTGACACATTTGACCATAAATTTTGAATCTTGTTGCAAATAAAGACAATTGAAGATATCAATAGATTTTTCAAGGAAAAAATCGTCAATTTGATAAAATATAAACTAATTTGACAAAAATAAATGTCAAACAAATATTTTTAAATTTTTAAAAATTATTTCTACCCACTAAAAATAAAATTATGTAAACTTGATAAATCTTTTAGATATTTATTTATTGTTTTACCAAATTAATTTTTATTATGTGTTTTGATGATAATCATGTAAAATTAATTTAAAAAAACTAATCATGTAATTTTTATTAATTTTTATCAATTTTTATCAATTTTACATAATTTTATCATTAGTAGATAAAAATAATTTTTAAAAATTAAAAATAAACTTTTGACATTTATTTTTGTCAAATTAATTTATATTTTATTAAATTGACGATTTTACCATTGAAATTAAACAATAGTATCTTCAATTGTCCTTATTTGAAACAAGATTCAAAATTCAATGTCAAATGTGCCATAATTGAAAAGTCAGGGACCAAAGTGACACGAGTTCCAAATTATAGAGACTATTTGTGTAATTTGCCCTCAAAAAAATTGTTTAAAATATTTTAAAAAAAAAAATTAGTGAAAACAAAAAAATACGAAAGATGAAAAAATAAAATTTTATGAAAAGTAAATTCTGAAAACTAAAATCAAACAGAATGAATAATAATAATAGTTAAATATCCAATCATCTTTAAACATACGTATTTTTAATAAAATTAGGGTAAATTACACTGACACCCCTTGAGGTTTATATTTATTACAGTTCCTCCTTTACCTTTTGAAAATTACATCTCTCCCCTGATGTTTAAAGTTTCATTACAGATTCCCCCCTCAGCCCTTTTAATTTTTTTAAATATCAATTTTACCCTCATTTGGTAAATTACATTGACACACCCCTCACCTTTTTGAAATTACAATGCCCTCCCTAAGGTTTAAAGTAACATTACCAATTGCTCCCTTGGTCAGTATTAGTTGCAAAAAAAATTCATTAAAAAAAATTAATTGAAAAAAAATTAATTGGAAACAAAAATTTGTTAGTAAAATTTTTAAATTTTTGTTTAAAAATCAATGTAAACTCATTTTTTGAATTTAAGTATTTTTCTCAAATTTACAAACTGAGACAACCATTTATAAACCAAAAAAATTATCAAAAAAGTTTTTATGACAATTTTTTAAATTTTTATAAATATAAATTGAAACTGAAAACGAAATGGTTACCAAGCAGGTCTCAAATGGTAAAAATGTCGTAAAATTAACAAATAATTAAATAAGTTAGCAACGTAAGAAATGACTTATCAAAAGATTTCTAGGCTGTGTATGATTTGATTTTTAGAATTTTTTTTTAAAATTAAAAATTAGTTTGGTTAAGAAATAAAAAAAAAAAATTCATTTCGTTTAAAAAATAATTTTCATTTCGTTTAAGAAATAGCTTAAGAATCTTTTGATAAGTCTTTTCTTACGTTGGTAACTTATTTAATTATTTGTTAATTTTACGACATTTTTACTATCTGAGACTTGTTTGGTAACTATTTCATTTTCAGTTTTCACTTTATGTTTATAAAAATTTAAAAAACTGTCATAAAAACTTGTTTGATAAATTTTTTGGTTTATAAAAGGTTGTCTTAGTTTGTAAATTTGAGAAAAAAACGTAAATTTAAAAAATTAGTTTGCGTTGGTTTTTAAACAAAAATTTTAAAAATTTACGAACAAAATTTTTTTTTTCAATGAATTTTTTTTTTTCCAACTAATACTAACCGAAGGGGCAATTGGTAATGCTACTTTAAATCTTAAGGAGGGGATTGTAATTTCTAAAAGGTGAGGGGTGTCAATGTAATTCACCAAATGAGAGTAAAATTGGTATTTAAAAAAATTAAAAGGGCTGAGGGGGGAATTTATAATGAAACTTTAAACCTCAAGGGGGACATGTAATTTCTAAAAGGTGAGGGAAGAACTGTAATAAATATAAATCTCAGGGGTGTCAGTGTAATTTACCCATAGAATTATTAATAAGAGTTTAAGGGAAAATGTTTTTTTCCCCGAATTTGAGCCACCCCGAATCTCCCGAATCAGATAAAAGAGAATAGAGGGGAAGAGGAGGAAGAGAGGGAAGAGACGACAGCTCCTCTGCCCGCCGTCGCCTCCGCCCGATCATCACCCCGCTGTCGCCTCATCGCAGCGCCGCCGTCGCCTCCTCGCAGCCCCGCCGTCGCCTCCTCGCAGCCCCGCCGTCACCTCCGTTTCCGCCTCTAGGCCGATTTTGTTGGCCCCTCTAGTCTAGTTCTTCTCCTCCTCCTCCTCCTTCTTCTTCTTCCTCTTTATTCCTTCTCTTTTTCTAATTTTCTACTTCTGAAAAAAAAATAAATAAATAATAAAAAATAATGAAAACGACGTCGTTTTTGAATTCGGAGAGATTGGGGCTCAAATTTGAACTATCAATCACTTCTCGGAATATACTGGTATTGCTCCACACAAAAATCATGACTGACAGTGACAACTACTCTCTTCCACCATTTTCCTCTTCATCACCTCCTCCAGGCACTCCAAATTGTTGACCGATCTCTCTTCTCCTCTCCTTCCCATCCTCTGCCATTCCTCTCTCTGTCGGCCAACAAAACAGAACATTCCAAGTAACAACCCCTATTTGTAGGTTCAATTACATAGGTTGATCAGATACTACCAGATAGATGCCAATGGGATTGGACTCACGTTGGTGATTCAAGTTTAAGATTATTACAAGGAAAACAAAATGTCATTTTCCAGCAAAGAATCATCAAAATCTAGTTTATGTTTTTTTAAGACTCTCTCCTCTCCACGTACCCATTCTAGAACCTGGATTTGACAACAACTCTCGGAACCATCACTACAAGGAAATTAGCTTATAACCACGCTTTCGTCACGGCGTTTTTTTAAAAAACGTCGTTTTAAAGGTTTTTAAAATATTTTTTTGTAAATAACTCATTTTAGAAAACAAACGTGCTTTGGTGTACGAACATATTTGCCCTTTTTAAGACCCACGCGTTTTTGACTCTTCTATTTCTCTCAGTCCTGCGATAGATCTAGGTCTTCTATCTCTTCATCGCTCCTCTTTCTTATGATGAAAGGTCACTAGATCGAGCATCGTAGTCTACGATTCACAATCTGGTTCTCTTCATCTTGGCTCAAAGCTCTCGATCAATCCGATTTGAAGATTAATTTTGTGAGTCCTCTGATTTTTTGATTTTGTTTATATACGAACTTAGATCTACGATCTCAAATCTGTTTGATATAAATATATACTTATGTCTATTGATCGCGATTGATTTTTATTCTGTTGATCGATTTTTAGGCAAATCTCGATTGATTGATTTTTAATTTATTGATTGAGATCGAACACTCTTCTCTGAATTTTCCCCTATTTTTCCTTTTCTTTTTTTTTTCTCCCCTTGTCCTTATAATCAGTCTGTTACTTAAACTATTTTGTTCTATCTTTTTGACATATCGTTGTTAATTTGGTTGTACTGGCAACTCTCTTTTAGGAGAACACCAATTTTACCTATTCTGCTGTATTGTTGCTCTTGAGTTAGGTCTCATAGATTCATTCAATAAGAATTTATTGATGAAATGGAAAGGAGGCATTTCTAGTCAATTTCTGAATTTCTTGTTCCTGATGCTTTAATTCTATATCTTGTTTCTCTTTTAATCTTTATATGGTAATTTTTTTGATTTGTTTGGTTTTCTTCTCAAGGGGTATGTTTTAAAATCAGAAAATATGAAGAAGTTTTTTGACTAAATCAATAATCAATGATGACAAATATTAGGGGGAAAAGAAGGGGCCAGAATCTAGCAAACTATCTTGTTTAGAAAGTAATAGTTAATCCAGCATTATTCTAATGATAAGTCTTTTTTCTTCTATGATTTTAGGAGTTCAATAAGTATGACAGAGAACCAGCTAAATACATCAAGCAATATCAAGGAATCAAACCAAGGATAGGGGCACCATACTCTTGTATTTTAGGAATCAGAGTTGCTTTGAGTTTCATTCTGGCTTATGTAGATGCTGGACTATTGATTTTCCTAATTTTTTGTTTTTCTCTCTCTTTCGATCTATATGTTAGCTGTCCCTGAAATCTGAACTTGAGCATAATGCAATATCTCCATCCAAACCGCCTCTGCACACTAAGGTCAGTTTCTCACAAGTCTTGTGACAGATAGAGTTTATACGTTGCATCGTTTTATAGTCACACAAGTGCTTTCATTGTTTTATAATAGGGATCTAAAGAGAATATTCCGGGTTCCTTAAAACAAGTAGTTCAGGTATCATAGCATGGAAGATGGAACCTTTTTATTATGTTCAATTCTAAACCCAATAATAAATTCTAAGTTCATAACCTCCAGAGGTATGGGAGGAAGCTGAGCCATTGTGGGAGCGAGTGGATGATCCCTGAAATTGGACCCCGGCCGAACATCTACAGGTACACCATGCCTGATTTACTTAATCTGTTACAATCACTTCGTTTACATTCACTTCATTTGGATATATAGTTCAACCTGACAAGCTTCTAGTTTTATGACTGATTTCTTCCATCTTAATCTTTTGAGCTAAAAATGTAAAGTTCTTAAGTTGAAAAACTTTAATCCTGCTCTAATTTGGACAAGCTTTTCTGCTTATTCTTTATAACATTGCAGCCTCATGTTCAACATGGACTTATAACACTACGTGATTTTTTTGTGGGAAGTGTCATGATGGTTCTTGTTTGATCTTTCTCAAGAAATGTAGATTTGGCCCAGATGAAATTTGACATTTGTTACTAGTGTATATTCCACATAACATAGCTACAAATGCTTAAGTAAACCTAGGATCATTTTAGACAATGGAATTGTCATTCGTTGCGAAACCTTGTAATTCACTGAAAACAAAAGATAGGAATGAGTTGCATACGCTAAAGCGGTGTTCTTTGTGTTCTGCCTACTCTACTTTTTTGTTTTTGGCAGAATATTTGATGTGATACATTTCAACTGTAGTCTGCAAATCAGTTTGAAAGAAGTAGACAATGCAATTTGTTAGAAACGTAATATGCACTAAGAATTCTTTTTCCTCATCTTGCTAAACTCCAGCATTAATTTACTTATAATGAAACAAAATTTGGTAGGGAAGCAATAGCTTGCATCTATCCTTTGTGTTAGACATGACATATACACTTTGGAAGATATTCTGCATCTCAATGTTTAACCTCCCACGTTAATGAATCATCCAATTATGTTCTAAACACAAGAAGGAATCAATTTTTTGAATTTCATAGGAAGAAACAAGGATCCATTATATTTCTTTGATTGAAATGCAACAGGAGCAGGAGCATGAACATCCGCTGAGAGCAAGAGGAGCTAGGGAAAATAGAAAATGAGCAAAAGGCGATAACATTTGTAAATGCTTCTTCTGAATTGCTTTTAGTTAAAATGAACTCTTTTTCCTTTGGAAACATTATCTATATTTTTATACAAATTGCAGCAAGAATGGGTAAAAAAGTTGGAATCCTAATAATACATAAAAACATATATGGGAAAGTGATTTTTCTCTCTCTTTATCTTTATTGTTTGTTTTTCTTTTTTGGGTAGCAAATTATAGACCCATTGTCAAGAAGAAAATCATGTCAACAGTAAACATTTTTGAATTTATTCCTTTTCTTGTGAAATTCTCAAAAATATAAAATATTTAATTTTTTCATGTATATTGTCTATTCTAATCCAAAAATTATTACATTCACATTTTAAAATATTCTGTTCTCCGAGTTTTATGGTCTATTTATTTCAAATGGATTTATCTATTTTCTTGCATAGACTTTGTTACAAAATATTTTTTTGCCTAATTTGATTTTGGTGTATAGTTTACTTGATGGTATAACTATATATGATTCTATGTTAATTGGCCCCTTCCCTTTAGGTTAATACTTTTCCCCTAACAATGTAATTCTTATTTGTCTACCATTGGTTGAACTTGAGTTGGGCTTTTAAGATCCTGAAACTGATTGTAAATAAGAAAATACCATTTGAATATGGAATTGACTTAGTCAACTGGTTTATTCATTGCAAAATATTAACTTCCAATTACTTATCATGGGTATGGGACATCAGTTGTTAAAAATTGAAATTGATTGATGCTTTCTCTTGTTTGTTGCCCAAATGTTGGTGTCTAGTTATCTGTTTAAATAGAACCAAAGTTTATGTTTGGGGGTGACTCTGTTAATGTTTGGGGTAGAGTGCCCAAGCCAAATTGTTGGTATCTAGTTATCTTTTAATTAGAAGTGAAAGGCTTGGGGGTGATTGTGTTTTGTTTGGGGTAGAGTGCACAAAAATTTGCTAGGGTTTATTTTTGCTTAAAAGATACGCTCCTTGGATGCCACTCTTTCCAAAATTTTATAAGATCTTTTACCTATCTTTAAAATCCCATAAATCGATGTTGCAGGTCCACAGGTGTAGTAAGCTTGCTAATCGACATGTAAGGGTCGGGCTTGCTGACCCCAATGCTGTGCCTCGCTGTGACATATGTGAAAATGCACCTGGTATGCATATTTTCATAATGTCAAATATGCTTTCTGTTTTTGTAAGAGGGTCAGAAAGGTTTAAACTTATGTTTCTCTCTCTGAATTGTGCATGTGCAGCTTTCTTTTACTGTGAGGTGGATGGAAGCTCCCTTTGTTTGCAATGCGATATGATCGTTCATGTAGGAGGTAAAAAATCCATGGAAGATATCTTGTATTGAGGCAGAGAATTGAGGTTTGTTTCTGTGGGATAGAACTGGATCATATTTATTCTTAAATTTGTCTGGAAATAGGTTCACCCAATATTAATCAGGAAAAGAATTGTTGTAATGAATGTCTTTTACCTTTTTTTGGTTTATATAACCTGATGCTTCGTGATTACTTTCGAGGTTCCCTAATAAAGCATCAGCTTCTGAGTAATCTTACACTTAGTATAGCTGTACATACTGTGTTGGAGGCATTGCGTAAACCTCCAGACACAAAAGTGAGTTTTTAATCTTTCATGTTTGGCTTTTATCTTTAGCTTGCAATAAATTTTAAACAATAAAATAAAATAGAAAGCTAATAATGTTCTCCCCTCCTAGGTATTTGCTTATGGAATCTTGACTTTGGAGCAGTTTCTTGACCGCCTGGTGGATCTGCCACTGCTTTGCAATCATATTTTGCAAATATCTCATTTACATGGTACTCATGTAGAGCTTATTGCATTTATAGAGCATACTCTGGCTATGTTATTTGCTATGCTTCTAGCTAATATTAGCATCAGAACTTCATGAGCTATCAGAAAGCTCTGTGGCTGTGTTGGCTGCATTTAGTCAGGGATTTGAAAACTCGATTGTAGTGTTGTTCTTATCACAAGTGTGCCAAGGTAGTCGAGTGGCTGCGGTATTGCTCAGGACTTCAACCCATGCAGTTGTCATTTTCTTTTCTTCTTTCCTGCTTCCACAACCTGACTCTGTCAGCCCATATAGTAATTAGTTGAGTTGAGAGCTCCAGAGATGGTGAAATATACAGGGAAGACTCAATGTCTAAAACATTTCCAAGAGGAAATATTAGTTTGTCTTTTCCCTGGTGAGATTTTTCAAAAAGAATATTTGGAAAATTGGGGAAAAGTTAAGTTCATCTCGTTTCTTTTTTGTTATGGTATTATGAAGAATGGATGTACTTGCAATTATCTTACTTTTAGTCAAGTAGGGTTACAAGAAAATTCAACCTGATCTTCTTAAATGCTTATGTAAAAGACATATAAGATAACTGAGAAAAAGAAAACACACATACACACAACATATATATCTCTGTATCTTCATGTACAGCCATGTCCTTTGTAGATTGAGTTGAGGTGGCCAGTCATTGCAAATAAGACCAATGACTACACCAATAAGTAGGGTTGTGTTCATACTCCCTATCAATAATTTGTTTCCAATCAAGCTGTTAATTTTTCTTGAAATACATTTTAGGATTGGGGAATTCCTGAGCATGTAGAAGATTAAATGATCTTTAAAGTGCTGCTTTGTATTTGTGCTATTAGTTGGAGTCTGCCATGCCGTACCAAGTTGTTTTCAGTGACCCCATTTTCTGTGTATAGTTTTTTGCCTTGGATATGTCTGGTTGCATGTATTCTTACTTTTAGAAGATAGTGCCTCTGTGTTCTGTATTCTCATTTTCTGTGCTTGAGCTGCTTTAGTTTATTAAGCGAAGCATTCTCTAGCAGTTCGTGTTTTTGTTTTTATTACATTAGATGCCTTATTCCTTGTGGCAGTTAGTGGGACCTAGGTCCTTACAGCATGGGAAGCAACTCTCTTCTTCCCTTCCGGTGCAACAAATACACCAAGGTTTACTCGGTGACAGGCATAAAGCACATTCCACTTCAGGCATTTTCTCAAAACCAATTTCACCCCCTAGGAATTCTTCAAATGTTTCCTTGAGTGATATTCCTAATCCTCAGAAGGTATTACATTGTATTTTATTTTTCATGAATAAGTACGGAACTGTATCAGATGGACACCAAGGGGGTGTCACCCCTGTACAGCAAAAGAAAAAAAAATTAATTAGACACAAGAACCCCAAAACTAAATCCCTTCCCTAAAATGTAACTCCTACAATATCTACCAAAAAATAAAGAGTCTCCTCCAAAAATGACTAAATCGGATTGAAGTAAGCTTTATAGATGTCTGTACATCCTTAGAAGGCATTGTATGTATTGTTTTCAATAAAATTACTCTTTTATTGGTTTTATTTATTTATTTTAATTTACACATCTAAGATGTTCTTTGCCTCCAATTGTCTCTCGGTCTGTACAAATGATCTCATCACAGAATGCAACTGGCGTTCCAGCAGCTGTATTATTTTCTTCTTCTGGGTTTTTACATTCTTCCAAGGCAATTACTTCGAGTAAGTTATTTTATCATGCTTTGCCATTTTCGATATTAAATCCTCATTTCACCATGAAATCCCTTACTTTTCCTTTCTAGTGTTGATTTCTTGAGCATCCCATCTATGTAGGCATGCAACATTCATCTACTACAGGGTTTGGTTCTGCTTTGAACATTGAAACACTTGTTGCAGCAGCTTAATTTACCCATAGAATTATTAATAAGAGTTTAAGGGAAAATGTTTTTTTCCCCGAATTTGAGCCACCCCGAATCTCCCGAATCAGATAAAAGAGAATAGAGGGGAAGAGGAGGAAGAGAGGGAAGAGACGACAGCTCCTCTGCCCGCCGTCGCCTCCGCCCGATCATCACCCCGCTGTCGCCTCATCGCAGCGCCGCCGTCGCCTCCTCGCAGCCCCGCCGTCGCCTCCTCGCAGCCCCGCCGTCACCTCCGTTTCCGCCTCTAGGCCGATTTTGTTGGCCCCTCTAGTCTAGTTCTTCTCCTCCTCCTCCTCCTTCTTCTTCTTCCTCTTTATTCCTTCTCTTTTTCTAATTTTCTACTTCTGAAAAAAAAATAAATAAATAATAAAAAATAATGAAAACGACGTCGTTTTTGAATTCGGAGAGATTGGGGCTCAAATTTGAACTATCAATCACTTCTCGGAATATACTGGTATTGCTCCACACAAAAATCATGACTGACAGTGACAACTACTCTCTTCCACCATTTTCCTCTTCATCACCTCCTCCAGGCACTACAAATTGTTGACCGATCTCTCTTCTCCTCTCCTTCCCATCCTCTGCCATTCCGCTCTCTGTCGGCCAACAAAACAGAACATTCCAAGTAACAACCCCTGTTTGTAGGTTCAATTGCATAGGTTGATCAGATACTACCAGATAGATGCCAATGGGATTGTACTCACGTTGGTGATTCAAGTTTAAGATTATTACAGGGAAAACAAAATGTCATTTTCAAGCAAAGAATCATCAAAATCTAGTTTATGTTTTTTTAAGACTCTCTCCTCTCCATGCACCTATTCTAGAACCTGGATTTGACAACAACTCTCGGAACCATTAAGGACAAAGACAGTCAACAGATATGTACTTGCAGTGGTGGGTTTACTTTTTTAGACTGATTTGGGTTTAGATCCAAAGAGAATACAAGAGAAGAGAAGAAAATGGGGAGAGCGCAGAAGAGAAGTGAAAAGATGGAGCGGCGGAGGGGAGAAAAGAAAAACAGTTGGCCTTACAGGATTGGAGAGATTGTTGCTCACCATGCGTAGCAACTCTTGTTTTTTGTTTTTCTCATTCTGACTATAAGAATGTTCACTTTAAAAAAAAATATTGAGTAGAATATACCATATAAAAATTCAAGTTAATTAGAGATTGATATCTTTTTCATCTAGATATATTTGTATCGAATAAATTAAATAGTAAATTTAATTTTAAGTATAAATATGAATACAAAGGTGTCTTGATGAAAGAGATGCCGAAATTTGATTAACTTAAATTTTTCCATGCATATTCTATTTAACATCTTTTAAAAACTAACACTACTAAAAAGCAGGGCTTTTGAGTCGGCAGCTTGCCGTCGCAAATAGCGGATTTGCCGACGCAAAAACTTTTTGCGGTGTAAACGATTTAAATTATCAAAAAGAAATTTTAAAAAAAAAACCTCATTAACTGTACAACAGTCACTGCTACACATGGTGCGCAGCAACCTAACCAAGCTGTGATCTTATGAAGAGAGAGCGAAACGACCGCAATGCTTTGAGGGCTGTTACAAGGGCTTCTAATGAAAAAAAGTATTTAGGCTTTGTTTGGGATCCTTAAAATAATTTAAAAAGTTAAAAAGTTACTTAAAAAGTTAAAAACTTATTACTATTCACCAAAAAAATATTAAAAAATTAATTTTACACCAAATTAATTTTCAAACAGCTCTGACGTCCCACAGGCGCAGCTAGGGCCTCGTTTGACAACAGGCTGATTTAGCCAAAAAGTCAAAAAGTTACTAAAAAAAGCCAAAAAGTCAACAACTCATACCAAAAAGTCAAAGATTCTATTTTCTCTCTACTTTTTGTACACCTTTTCGTAAAAAGTCAAAAAGTCATTCCAAAGATACTAATTTTTTTTTTAACTCAAATTTTAGCCAAATAGCCAAAAAGTTATTAAATTAGCCTATTCCCAAACGAGGCCTAAGTTTTTAAAAAAATTGCACTGATTTAGGTGCACAAATAACACTGTGTTGTTCAGCCCGTGGAGGCCATCACGAGTCCCATTTTAATAATCTGAACCGTTAATGTGTAAAACTCGTTAAGTACTATATACCTGTAAAAAATCATGTTGATCGGATATCAGTAACTATATGATCAAATCAGTTAAAATTTATAAAATGGATGGTGTTATAGTTAACGGTTGAAAACTAATCCGATCAGATATCTATCGATATCCAATAAACGTGATTATTTATAAGCGTCTAATACTCGACGAGTTCTACACATCGAACGGTTTTGATTAGCAAAACGGGACTCGTGGTAAGCCCCCACAGGCCAAACAACACCTTCAATTTACTGTCCGAAAAACAAGGAACCATCTCCCCCCTACTCTGCCCACGCTGTCCCTCACCGTACAGCCTATTCCATCACAATCTTCTCCTATATACTAATTTATACAATTTTTTAATAAACATTCTTCCATTAAAAGTTAAAAAGTTATCTCAAACAATCATATTTTTTTCTCAATTTTTTAATTCAATTAAAAAATATACTTATTTAAAACATCTCAAACCACCCCTCAGTGTAACAGTTATACCATATCACTGAGGTGACTTGGTGCACTATTCCACAAATAAAATGACACGTGAAACCATGAACTT